GGTAGAGATACACGTAAACGTTTTCAGATCAATTGCACTCATAAATTTCTGGATGGTTTTGTCTGCTTCATCACTCATTCCGTACTTATGCTTCTTATCTATCGATTAAAGACATTTGGAATTAAATTATATCTGAACAACCAAATTTTATTGTTGTTTGTCCATTTATGGAAATGATGCTTTGTTCTTCATATTGTCCCCTCTTTCCCACCGTTTAATGACTGTTTTGCGTTAGAGACATGTTTTTGCATATTTGCAATTGTTCATTACTATTATTCTTGCCTTTTTAGGGTACAAAATGCAATTTTATGTGCTACTAGTGACATTATTGGCATCGTCAGCATCTGGTTACTACATCAATATTGATGCAAACGAAGAACAATGTTTTTTCGATAGAGTTATCTCAGGGACGAAAATAGGCTTAATGTTTGAAGTGGCCGAAGGTGGTTTTCTCGACATTGATGTCAAGGTAATAGTTTCTTGCAAATTCTCGCTGTTTTCTCTTTTTATGTGTAATGCAAAGAGAATACCATTTTTGTCTCTTTTCTTAATTTGCCATTATTTGCTACGCAGTGGTCAGTTATATATAAGTGCTTTTCATCTGTTCTAAAAGGTAGCTGAAGAAGCGTTTGCAAATAATTTATTTGAATAACTACGTCCAAAATCTCTCTGAGGTTAACTCGAAGACCAGTTCCTTTTACTGAGCATTTGGCTGGAAATCCACCTCTTTCTTTTTTGAATGGTCATGAACAAGAAAATTATCAACTTTCTTTTCGTACTCAAAGCTATTTGTGAGGGAGATTATTCATGTGTAAAACTTGGTCTCATCTGTTTTTTTACATTTCTTACCCAAAGAAAATTGCTCGTTATAGTACTCATTGGTTGCCATTTTCAAATAACTTTTTTTCAAACTATTTTTCTCCTGTTTAAGTTAGGGGATCCTTCTAACAATTCAACATTGTAGCGCATTTTATTCATATTTAGATCACTGGTCCGGACAACAAAGTGATTTACAAAGGCGAACGAGAATCTTCTGGGAAATATACGTTTGCAGCACATATGGATGGTGTGTACACGTACTGCTTCGGAAATCAGATGAGTACAATGACGCCTAAGGTATTAAATTTCTCATTTCGACTCTAGCAGTTTAGGTTCCAGTCTTATTCCTACCCTTAAAGACTGCTTATCTTCTCAAAAATCCGTTTTAGGCTGTGATGTTCACCATCGAGATCGTCGAACCGCAGCAACAGCAACAAGGTGCTGCCCAAAGTCAGGATGCGGGTGAGTTTCTGAATGTTATAGGATTGCTACACCATCACTGCTTTCTACTTTCTATTTATGTTTTTCGGTAGAGCGCAATATCAAGTGAGGTGCGAAGTAATTTGTGTAGGGCCTCCACGTTTTGTGCATCGCTTTAAAAGTATTTATGACTATTGTTTCTAAGGAATCTATGTGGACTTTGTCAGTGTCGAGAAAACAACGTTTTTGTTTACAGCCGACAATCAGAAACTTGAAGAAATGGTCCGAGAGCTGTCCACTGCCTTAATGTCAGTTAAGCACGAGCAAGAGTACATGGAAGTCCGAGAACGTGTTCACCGATCAAGTAAATTTATTTTCATTACCATTCCTATTGCTTTCGTTATCACTTTTTCATATCCGCATCCATTGCGCTTATTCTTTCTCTTGTTTGGAGGATTAAACGCGCAAAACTCTCCTTCATCATCCTTTTTCAAGTTTCCCTTATCTCGCTTCAACACTTGCCTTTCTTCTTCTTCATGTTCATTCACAGAAGGTTTTTTTTTCCAAAAAATAAAATTAGCTTTGGCGCCTATTTTCTCGAATTTACTTTCTTCTTCTCATAAATCTTGTCAATACGATAGAAACGAGGTAATGTGGCTTTAAAGGAACCCCTCTTTTTATCCTGTCTTACTTATTTTCTTAGCGAGTTCTGAAATAACTTGTTTTTGGACGATCTATGATTATCGACATGTGTCTGGTGCTGGCACATAACGCACTTCGTTGTTCCAGCATCTGTACTATAGGTATTTGCTAGGTCAGTCATATACTAATCGAAACTTTTTGCAGTTAACGAAAACACGAACAGCCGCGTTGTGCTATGGGCTGTTTTTGAAGCGATGGTACTTGTTTCAATGACTGTTGGCCAAATATGGTATTTGAAGCGATTCTTCGAAGTACGTACGGTTGTGTAAGCGATCAAAGTAGTACTGCTAGGAAGTGCACACATTAGGCTCCAATAGTCACCAACTTCACCTCACGATTATTGGAACTCGCGTGTCAAATATTTTTTGAAATGTTCTTCAGTTTTTGTTTCATTTGTCGTCTTCCTTGAAGTATTTTGGTTCACCGATGACGTTGCCTTATTTATTTACTTCCAATAGTTTATGTGTGAATATCTGATGCTAGTAACACATGTTTGGCTCTCATAAAAGTCTTTGTCTTGCGTTTCTTAACTCTAAATTATGTCTCTGCTGCTTCTTCTGGGTTTTTATAAATGGTAGGCAGTTCGAAAATGTCTTTATCCAGATATGATTTTTGTTTTCTAATACGAGTTCTGTATATTTTTTATCTCTGTGATGTTACAGTGTAATATTGTTTCTGTTGCAGTAAATTTTATTGTTCTTCCTGGCGTATTTTTTGGATTTTAGTGTAGTCTTAGAAGTTGTAAAATTTCAAACATATGAAAGCTTAGAATTACCAATTTTATGGAAGTATTCAGTCTACCAGTGGAAAACCGTATCTGAGGGGCTTTGAATTTTTTTGCCTAAGTGGATTAGCAAACACCCAAATAATCTATAAAATAAAACAATACGACTTTTTTTCTTTAATACAGTGTTTTTTTTT